TAATTTAGTTTTCTTTCTTTCTTTTTTTCATTCTTTCTTTATTTATTTATTTACTTATTTTCCTTTCATTCAAAATCGATCACGACCAACGCACGAATGTTTTATACGATGTTTTATTTGATTCTATTTGTTTGTTTTGTTTCTTTTTTTTTTTTTTTTTAATGATGATGCGAAATATCGCTTTCTCTCTCTCTCTCTCTCTATCTCTCTCTCTATCTCTATCTCTCCTACCCCCTCATTCTTTTCTTTTCTCATTCTGTCCCTACCTTTTCTTGATATCTTTACTGAATTCTAGTTTTGTATTTTTTGCCAAAGCTTCATTTATAATTGAACATTATATTCTTTTTTCTTTTCTTTTTTCTTTTTTTTTTTTGCAAGTAAACAAAGAGAGCTTTGAGTCGATCGGAAAGAAGTGAAAAACTTTCGTAATATTTTATATGTTTTTTTATTCGGAATTTCTTTTTCTTTAATTTATTATTTATTTATTTATTTATTTAGTTATTTATTTATTTATTTGTTTTTTAGTTATTTATTTATTTATTTGTTTTTTAGTTATTTATTTGTTTCATTTTGATTGAGACATTTGAATATTTAGTTCCATTTTTCTTTCTTCCTTTATTGTTCTTTTCTTTTTTCTTTTTTTTTATATTTTCTTTTTTTATTTTTTTTTTTCACATCATAACTTTTGATTATGAGAACGTGTGGCATCATCGAGAAGAATAATTAACAATATACAATTCACAATTAATACGATAACACAAAATAGTGGGATCTCTTCGCATTTTTCGATAAACGCCGTATATAATCGATTACCAATGAAAACGATTAAGACTGAAATATTTAAAAGTGACAAATCTAAAACATTATAGATAAATTCGTCTAAAATCTAAATAACTTGTTCAGATGTATATCTATGTGTGTATGCGTGTACGTGTTAATATGCGTTTAAATCGGCATATGTAATGTGTATGTAAATTCTAGAAGAAATCGTGGTGTAAATTTTTTTTTTTACGAAACGGCGACGCTTTCTTTTTCTGTCTCTCTCTCTCTCTCTCTCTCTCATTCTTTCTCTTTGTCTATCTTTATTTCTTTCTCCTTTTTTTCTTTTTATTTTATTTATTTCTTTTCTTTTTCTTTTTTCTCAAACCAATTTCAATGAAAATGAAATTGTTTGTGTATATGTGCGTGTGTGTGTGTGTGTGTGTGTGTGTGTATGCATCTATGTAAGTTTACGTGAGCGCAAGCAAAACGTCACCGTTTTATACAATAGAATAATTCGCTATTTTATAAATTACCGTATAATTGTAATGTATAATAATATATTACAATAGACGATCATATCGAGTAAAAATTGTAAAACCGTGTTTTCTTTTTTTTTTTTTTTTTTTTTTCTTTTCTTCCCTTTTCTTTTCCTTTTTTCAAGAGTCCATTAAAATGAATCTAACCGACTCGAATTATCCTAAGTTAATTAGCATTTAACTATTATACGTTCGAATATAGCTCAGATATATCGGAAGTGATAGTGGGTCTGCTGTAAAAATAAAAATTTAACATTTGTCATCTTGAGGTTGCGTATGGAAGGACATGTTTTATTGTTTATTGTACGTTATATACTGCTTTGTTCGGTGTAAAAATATAAAGCATTTCGATTACAGACTTCGTACGCAAGGTGCCATTGTTAATGAATATAATTTTCCTGGCTATTATCGATATCCTTCTGTCTCTTTCTTTTTTCTCTTTTCTTTTCTCCTCTCTCTCTCTCTCTCTTTCTCTCCCTCTCCCTCTCTCTCCCTCTCTCTCTCTCTCTCACTCTCTTTCTCTCTCTCTCTCTCTCTCTTTATCTCTATTTCTATCTCCTTCTCTCTTTCTTTCTTTCTTTCTTTCTCTTTTTCTCCATCTTTTTCTCTCTCTCTCTCTCTCTCTCTCATGTTATGTATATTCCTCTTCTTGATACTGGGTTCTAACCGATGAAAGATAATACAACAAAAGAAGATTGTTAACGACTGTAAATCAAATGAATGTATTTAGAATAATCAACACATTATATATATATATATTTTCAATGAGATTTACGATGGAAAAATTTTTTATTACGGCAAAGAATATGAGTTACGTTGTCTGTGGATAAAGTGAAGCAAAAAAAAAAGAAAAAAGAAAAAAAAAGAAAAAAAGAAAAAAAAAAGAAGGGAGGGTAAAAAAAAAAATAAAAAAAAAGAAAAACAAAAAAAGAAAAAGAAAAATAATGGAAAAAGAAAAAGAAAGTCGAAAAGGAAAATAAGGTCAGCCCAGTTTCAAGGAGCGATATTAAACCTCGTGCCCCGCTTCATCTTAACAATGGCCCAGGCTATGGAGTTAATAATTGCTTCTCTGTTTTTATGTGGTAATGATAACAATATGCATGTATAACAAATGTATTTTAAAAACGGTTTCGCTTGTGGCATTTTACTGCTCTCTGTAACAAATAAGATATCGTCATTCAACGTGGTGGCTTATATCAACA